TATATGACAGTCTATGATTAATCTTAGTTCGCTCTTCCTTTTTTTTTTTTGGTATGAAAAATCACACGACGTAATATATTAATGTTGTATAATAGTCTCAAGTTATAATCGACATAACGTAAGAATGTATTTATCTCGACTAGATGAAGCATGAAAAAGAAATCAAGACACACTCGTAGACACTCAAAATGTCTCTTATGTCCTTCAATAGCTATGAAATATCCTCAGGTCATCACACCTTGATTTCATCTATATAAACAATTATATAGGCGTATTCATTGATGACTTTTCATATGTTGAAAACGAATATAAAGTAAAAATAGAAAACGACCAATATATAAAAGCTATGATATCATCTCGTTCATTATCCCCATATATAGACAGGTCATAGAGAGAAAAGAATAAATAACTTAAGAGTCATGTCTGAAGAGATACATTTGTTTAATAAATAAAAGAGAACGAAAATAGAAATTTAACATCCTTTCTTCTTACAACACATTCTAAATACATTTTTTTTAGTATTGGTTATAACCATGCGTGTTGCGAAATATTTACTAACTCGTTTTACAACACTTAAACCACCATTAATTGTACCAGAAAATCCAATTAAATTATTACGTATGCTTAATCGTCGACAAGCTGCTTTATTTCTTGTTGGATTTCTTGCTTGGACATTTGATGCATTCGATTTTTTTGCTGTTACACTTAATATAATTCCAATTGGTAAAAGTTATAATAGAACAACAACAGATATTACTTGGGGTATTACTATAACATTAATGCTTCGAGCTATTGGTGCAATTATATTTGGAATTGCTGGTGATCGTTTTGGTCGAAAATGGCCATTTATTGTCAATATTGTTTTATATGCATTGATTGAAATTGGTACTGGTTTTTGTAGAACTTATGGACAATTTATAGGTCTTCGTGCTGTTTTTGGTATTGCTATGGGTGGTATATATGGTAATTGTGCAGCTACAGCACTTGAAGATGCACCAATTGCTGCTCGTGGTCTTCTTTCAGGTTTATTACAGCAAGGTTATGCATGTGGTTATCTATTAGCAGCAGCTTTTAATGTAGCAATAACAGATCATCAACGTTATGGATGGCGAGCACTTTTCTGGTTTGGTGGTTGTCCTCCATTACTGGTAGCACTTTGGCGTGTATTTTTACCAGAAACTGATGCATTTTTAAATGTAAAAAAAGAACGTGAAGCTAAGGCTAATGTTTGTACAGGTAAATAAAATTATTGTTTTTATCATCGTTTCGTATTAATATGATTATAATATTTTAGATCCTACAATTAAACCACCATCGTCGATGCGTTTATTTTTACGTACAGTTCGTCCTGCACTTGTTGATCATTGGCCTATGCTTATTTATTTAGTACTTATGATGGCAGGATTTAATTTTCTATCACATGGTAGTCAAGATTTATATCCAACTTTTCTTTCTTCTACACTTCAATTTTCTCATAGTCTTGTAACTATAACAACTATTGTTGCTAATATTGGTGCTATAATTGGTGGAATGTCAATTGGTTATTTTTCAAGTTTCTTTGGTCGACGTTTATCAATACTTGTTGTTCTTATTATTGGTGGTTTACTTATTCCAGCATATCTACTTCCACGTGATAAAACTATAATGGTGGGTGCTTTTTTTCAACAAATGTGTGTACAAGGTGCTTGGGGTGTTGTACCTATACATCTTATGGAACTTTCACCAGGACAATTTCGTTCATTTGTTGTTGGTACTGCATATCAGCTTGGTAATCTTATTTCTTCAGCTTCATCGACTATTGAAGCTAAAGCTGGACAACAATTTCCTAAAAAATCATTAACTCCTAATTCAAATAATGAAGAACAATATGATTATGGAAAAGTAATAATTATCTTCTTATCCTGTGTATATGTATATTTATTTATTATAATTTTCCTTGGACCTGAAAAACGAAATATTGATGAGACAAATAGTAACAACAACAACAACAAAGACGATGGTTATGATAATGAAACAGTAAAAGATACTGAATTAGAAGAATCAACAATATCGGATGGTTCAAAGACAATGAAAGCTGTTTGAAATATTAGATAAACTTATTTACTTAAACTTAATATGTAAAAAAACATCGAATTTTTATGTTCTTTTAATAATTTCCAATAACAATGTACATTAGTTTCTATAAATATATATATATGCCGTATCTAACTTATTTTTAATCCATTAATCAATAAATAACTCATCTATGACGTGTTCTACTACTATAATCTATGATCAAAATCAGACTTTTCAGTGACAAATTCTCATAGCCATAATTGAAAAACATATGCTAACATTATATAATCAAATACTATTGTATAACGGATTTCTATTAGTCTATAATAGTTATTTTTAATGAATTTAAAGCTGAATTCAAAATTTCTTATATTTTGCTTATCTTCAATATAAGTAAATGTTATAAAATATATTTTATTCATTATCATCCGCTAGTTCAACTTCAATTTCCCATTTATAATCAAAATAATGTACACTTAATGTACTCCATTTCCATATATTAGCGAGTAGATATGCACCAGTTCTAGTAAACTGGGTAACAAGCCATCTGATCTTTCATTCATTATTGGATCAATATTATTCTCTTTTAGAATATGTGATAATTAATCGATTTTCAGTCTCTTCAAAAATTTTCAACTCTGAGTTACCCCTCAAGGATTGAAAAACAATCAGTTTACTTAGAACAACAGTTTTATCGCTTAATTATCTTTAATTTTACTTAAAAATAACATTTTAAAAGTTTGGAACTTAATATGCACTATCAGAGTTAGTTTTTCGCTAAATTGATTTGTTACACACTTCTGAGAGAAGCCAGGGTCGAATAATTTTAAGAGCTTGAAAACGATTAAATACAACATATCCTAAAAGAGAAGAATACTGGCCTATAAATGAATGAAAGATCAGATGAATTATGATCCAGTCTACCAGTCATGACTGGAACAGATGCATACCTACAAAACAATCTTTTATTTCAAAATACATTATATTATTATTTATTGTTCTCATATATATTTCTACTTTTCGTCAGATATTGTTTAGTTTACCATAAGCGAATTCAATTCTATTATGACTATCAGTCATGCAAATGTTAGATGAAGGTAATTTTCCTTCTTGAATTTGAATTGTTTTCTTATCAAATTCTATAACAATATCATATTCTTCAGTATTAGTATATATTTCAGCCAAATTAAATGAAGTATGAGTTACAACTAGATGTGTTAGAGAATAGCACTTCTAACACATGTTTAATCCTCAACTTAAATAATCTTTTCCTATATCATATTCTTTAGTCTGTGTATATATGATGGTAATAAATGTTATAATTATATTTTATCCACGTCCTCACATTGAGAAAAAATTGTTTTTTTTATTTTCTCGGTGTGCATCCATCATTCTCAGTTGAGTTTGATCTCAAATAATATAAGAAAGAGTTTTATCAAATGCGTAGTTTAATTCACATGATCATCTTTATAATAATCATAAATGCCTGATATATTCCAAGCTCGTCGATGACGTATTAAGAAAAAAGATTGATGATTTTTATAAGAAAATATTTTTTATTTAGAAAAGAAATGTTCTTGAAATACAAAAAGAAAAATGATGGATGTTTTATAGTTATAAATTTTGATGAATTTTTCTTATATATAACAAATAATACTTTGGATTCAGTTTTGACGTTGATTGATATTGTTTAAAGAAAAAGCACTCATATTTATTTCATTTTTATTATATGAAAGTATATCGCAAATAGAAATGTCTTTACATTTACTAATTCTAATTAAATCGAAGAATATGGTATGATAAATTCGAATAGTGTCATTGAAAATAATTATCATATTATCAACATCAAGAATAACAGATATAGTCTTATCGAAAAGATAAAGATAACAGATTTGAATGAAAAAATTTTCTATATCAATTCGTACTGATTTTAAATGGAGACAAAATGAAACAACTATTGCTAAAGAAAATGGAATAAATTAGCGAAACTATCCTAGTAGTATTTTTTTTTGCTGACATAAGAAATGATTATGTTGTTGAAATAGAGTTTAAATACAAGTTGTAATCAAATTATTGCTAATGGTAATAATAAAAAAGTTACGGATGAGGATATAGTTATCAGTTAACAATAATACTCACAGCTATACCCTCAAAAACAGTGAAGATCAACATAGATGACGTCATAAAGAAGAAAAAAATTTACGTATATTATGACGTCATATTAGTACTAATAAAAGAGAATGTACACATCACAGCACCAAGTGACAATTCTTCTTATGTCTTAGCCATCTTTAATTAGTAATAAATTGTTTTTATTCATCGAACTTAGTATATAATAAATTCATTAAATATTCAACTTATTTACTCAGCACTTGAATCGATGTCTTATTCAATGATATAGAACCATTTTTTTAGTAAATATTTTTTGGAAAATATATGTAAAATAATTCAGAACTTATCAATCATTCAGTGCAAATTAAGTTTTATTATTTTCTTATATTTTCAAAATAAAACTTCTTTCACATCAATCATTTTTTTAGCAATGATAGATGAACAACAAAGTTTATCACAAATTATTAAATATAGAATAAAACATGTTCGCCATTCATCATTTTTCTTGGATATATATATCTGGTAGTTATACTTAGAAAAGTCATTCTTTTTTTTTCAATCGAAGGTGAGTCTTAAGATGATACGCAATTTAGTGAAACTTATACGGCAAAAATTTCTTGAATTGAATTTATACAAAAAACATTCAAGCAATGAACATACTCTTGAAAAAGAACTTCTTGCTACTCGTATTTATTTGATTGGATTCATTGTATGTTTATCTATTATTACTATTACTGTTGCACTTATCGTTCGACCTGTGGACAAAATTGAATATAAACCTTCACATGAGAAGTTTTCACAATTAATTCGTAAGTATCCGAATACTCTTCGTTGTCCATGTTCAAAACCTTCAACAACCTATGACAAATTCGTCACTAGTGAAGTTAATTTTCATCAAGTTTGTTCAAGTGAATTTATTCAACAAGCATGGATTGAGAAAATATTTACACAGAAAAATATTTCAATCGAATCTATCGATGATGTTCGTACTACTCTTAGTTTTTTTTGGCAAACAATTGCTGGTTTATGTATGGCAAGTAATAAAAGTTGGAATACTGTTCTTGAAAATTTTGAATCTACAAGTTTAATCACTCCTATGGCAATTGCTGAACAAGTTATTCGAACTCAAGCTGAACACGCTCTTCGATATCAAATAGATCTATCGAAAACAACATCAGTTCGTAATTTACTCGCTCTTCAACGTATAATACGTGGAGATCAAATTGTATCAGCTTTACAAACAAATTTCTATTTACGTTATCAACCAGCAGATTTAGATCGATCAAAACCTCCAAAAATGGCAGCTCGAATGTTTGGTAATTGTACTTGTTTAAATATTGAAGGTTGTCCACGATCTGCTACATTTAATGATAGTTATGGTCATTTAATTAATATACCAGGAATGATAGTAGATTGTTTAATTGTTGATGGTACACTTAATTCAACACTTGAATGTTATTATAATCAATCATGTATTTCAATGTTACATGGACAATCATCGATGTATATTCAACCATTATCAAATAATTCGAACAAAAATTTTTCTATGTATTCAACAGTACAATCAATCTTCAATAAATCAATGATAGATGAAACAATAACTGAAATTCGATTTGATAAATATTTTTTGGAATGTAATTGTCCTTTTTGCTCATATTCATATACAAGACGTTTTGATATGTTTTTTATTTTCACGGCTGTTACTGGCTCTATTGGTATATTATCATTCATCATACGACACATTGCATCTTTTGTTGCAACAAAGATTTTACGTCGAAAAAATCGAATTTTACCAATGGAAAATGTGTCAACTATAACGTCTATGGAACAGAATCAAAGTAAGTTAGAGTAGACTTTTAGGAACTTGAGAGTGATTAACAGTATAGATCAGAGATGAAGTCGATCTACAGTTTTAACAACCGATTAATCGATCAATGTATTAATTTACAATTGACAGGTAATTCTTTTTTACTGTCGGCTTCACGTTTCTGATCGGGACCGAACTGAATCCGAGCAGTTCATTCTATTTTTAAAAGTGAGTGAGGAGATGTATGTAAACCTAATATTCAGCTTACATTCAAAACTATCCTGGTACATAGCCGAATGGTTTGTGATTTACTGCATGTTTGATGACTTGAATGATATATTTCATATCAGTTTAATGGTTTGTTTTGAATATTTAAACATAAGAAGTATTGTATTTTGATAAAAGAATTCATCATTCATTTTCTTTTCAGAGCAACGTATACAACTTCGCATTCGACTTTTATTAATTAAATTATGGCAAGCAATAATATCTTTAAATCTTTTTGAAAAAGAAACACATCGTACACCTATTAACATTTATCGAGAACAACTTTTAACAAGATTTTTCATCTTTTTCATTGTTAGTTTATCAATTGCTGCTGGAGTATACACCTATGCTGTACAGCAAAATCAAGAGATAACAATTCTGAATCCATCTCTTGATACTTATGAACAATTGTATAAGGATCATCCAACCACATTATATTGTCCTTGTTCAGAAATATCCATTCTCAATCAAGTTTTTCTTAATGTAACATTTGAATTACATCAAGTCTGTTCAAGTGATTTGGTTTCATTAGAATGGTTATATTATCTAATATCTTTTGATCCGACTGATCTGCCGCCACCCAAGTTTCGCTTCCCATTAACTGAAGATTTTCGTGAAATGGGTGCTTCTTATTTTCAACTTTTAGCTGCTTTTTGTTCATTAGCTGAAATGAACATTGCAGATGCACAGCATGTATTTATTAATACTGAATTTATTAATGATCGTGTTCCTTCTGAATCACGTTTTACTCAACAAACTGAAGCTATGATGACTTCATTTATTCGCACAACTAACTATGATTTTGTACAAACATTTAATTGGATGAAACTTATTTTTCTTTTTAGTCGTCTTTACAATGGATTGAATACAAATGTTGATATAACTATAAATAATAATAATCAAGTGACTGCTAATTTTCGTGGATATACTTTAGTAAATTCCATATCAGGCACGACTATAGCCGGTCAGTACTCCTGCACTTGTGGATTACGTCCTGAGTTCTGCCATATAATCCCTACATTTTATGAAAATACAACATATCTTGACTTTACTGATGCATTTATTAATACATATTTATTATACAAAGTATTATATCTTGGCTGTTCACCTTTAAGTGGGTTCCTCATGTCAAGAACGAAATGGTGGTACGATATCACATATATGAAACGTATTCAAGAAACTTATTCCATGATTATTTATAGTCGACCTTCACCAGATATCAAACCTCTTAATCAATCTATATCGACTCGATTTGATAATCCCGAAACGCGAGAGTTACTTGGTGAAATGCTATTCGAAAACGCAACCAAAAATGCATCCTTCGATAGATTTTATAACGCATGTAAACCTAGTTCTTGCTCATATACCGTTGTTCAACGTCGCAGTTATATCGTGGTATTATTTCTTCTTATTTCGATTTGCAGTGGTTTGAACAAAGGTCTTCAACTGCTTGTTCCACTAATTGGTAAAATCATTTTTATCTGCTATGATTGGATAAAAAATCGGAATACTCAACGAGGTAAAATATAGATAGGGTTCATTTACAAAAAAATAAATCAATTGAAATTATAATAACTATATAAATACATATCAATTAGCACTAAAACAATGCATTTCTCTTAAAAACTAATCAACTTCAGAATTCGATAAGAAACGTATTGAGAAGTATTATAATTTCCTGTGAAGTTTTTAAAGGATAACGAAATGTTTCATCACGAATCTTTCTGTATTAATTAGATCTTTTTTTTGTCTGTTACAATTGAGATATAATGATGTAGTAGTATAGAATATGAGTTATTGACAGTGCTAGAATGATGGAAGTAAAATAAATACAGTTAACTACGCTCATCCGCGAGTATTTTTTTGAGGAAAGAATATTACTGAAAAAGAAATTAGTCGAAAGAACCAAATTGAGAATGTTAGTCAAAGTTTGAAGATGATTATGTATGAGTAACTGATGTAATTTTCATACTTCTCCTCAGATTATTCAGTCGGGGATGTTATAACTCACAGAACTAGCTTATTTGAAGTACTGTTCAAAACAAAAAACATATTGATTTGATTTCATATATAATTCATTCTAGGAGCATCTCCAATTAGTGTTCGTTTTAGAAACTCTCCAAGTATTATCTATCGTAAAATTAAAAATTTCAACATCTACGAAACAGAATCAAATGATAACAACACTCATATTCGTCAACAACAAATCTATACAAGAGTTTATCTGTTTCTTTACATAATTTTACTCAGTATTGTACTCTTTTATACAGTTCTGATCGAACGTCGTATTAGTAAAACACAAGACTTACATTCGATTGGTGATCATGAAAAATTACTAAGCCTCTATTCAAATGATATCAGTTGTCCATGCACATATACATCAATTGCTTATGATGAATTTATCACTGAACTAAAAGTCAATTCATCTCATGAAGCATGTGGTTATTACCGGCTGCGCCGGATAACGGCAATGAGTAAGTACTAAGATGTTAGTTTTCTTTTTTGTCTCTCTAAAATTCAATCAATCGACAAAATAAATATTCAAGGCTTCCGGATTGAAATATGGTTTCTTTTTTTGATAAAGTTTCAACGAACCTAATTTGGATTATACTTGACTTGCTAATATTGATTATGTGTAAAGAAAAGAAAGGAGGGGGCGTTTATGAATGAAAATTGGCTCCTCATGTAAATTTAGATGGGTTCAAAAATTATGTGATCGGGGATACCACGACAAAATTTGAAAAGGGGCCAATTTTCAGTCATAAACGCTCCCCCCCCCTCCTTTAAAACAAATTCAAGTAGGAGAAAACTTCAAAGTTTTATAAAATTTTTCAGTCATGAAAAAGCAAATTTGATTAGCTAATTTTAAAAAGCTAAATAAAAAACATTTTTAAAGAGATTCAAATAATTATATTTGTAGGTGTAATAGAACATGGAGGTAGTGGAACGTCGATCTACGATAAAGAATACTCACGTTCGGTGCTATCTTTCGTAGAATCCTTGGAGCAACTTTGTTCTTTGGCAGAAGACAATGTTAACAATAATATTGACGCATTTCTTGCCTCAACTTTGTTTACTAATCAACTAATGTCTCGTAGTCTATTTAACACTGAAATGGATGAAATACTAACTCAATTCAAAAATAAAACAAAAACTACATTTGCGCATATGTTAGACCTTATTCGTTCAACTATCCAAGGAAATGCTTTACTACATGTATCGTCACAAGCTTGGAGTTTAGTTAAAGTTAAAACAAACAATGGAAGCAATATTAATTTTCTTACTGTATCTCTTACACTCAACAATACACAAGAGAATATAAGTTGTTTGTGCAGCATTTTACAAACATGTCGAATACCACGACAAGTAAATATAGAAGATCGTGGTTTGATTACTATTGACGGTATGGTCATTGGTTGTCACCAACTTGAAACATTACTTCTCTCGTCTTTGGCTTGTTTCTATTCTCTGCAATGCATTAACGACCTTCGAGCTAATCTTGGGGAACTAATTCCAATAATGAAACAGTTTGAAGGATTAAATGCATCCACAACACGATTCTCTGTGAATGATACTATTGAGAAAATAGCATATGAAATGTTTATCGAATCATGGTCCAATAATACGTCGTATGAAACATATTTTAATAGTTGCTCTCCAAGTTATTGTATTTATACATATTATCAAAAATCTAATGCATTAGAAATATTAACAACATTTTTAAGTGCATATGGTAGTTTATCAATTGCCGTTTACTTTATCGTACCTTATCTTGTTAAATTAATTAAAAAAATTTTAATTTGCTTTCGAATTACTCAACAACAATGATGCATTTACTGCACATTAATTAGAACTATTTCAACAAGAGAATGTAATTGACATTTATCTGCATACGAGAATGATTACATTATTCAAAATTTTTGACCTGAAAAGAGTAAGTGCTAGTGTTCATATATAATTTTGAAGGTGATATAAGCTCTGAGATTGAAAATATAGTTAAATATTTTTCGTTAATTTTTCTACTAAAAAGAGTTAACGAAGAATATTTAATTATCGCTACTATTTATATAACCTCGAAACTTATTTTACCTTCAAATCTATATGAGCACTATTCCTACGTTTCATCACTAAAACGTATTTAGATAGTACTGGAAGTTCCAAACTTATGCTTTTCCTTGTTTTGTGTTCTCTTACATATAGCTATTGAGAAATTCTACTTACTTTTTCTTATTAGATGATATCAGTGATGACGTAACGCTGCAAAATACGCTTGATATATATATATAATCAAAATTGTTACTAAGCTTCTAAATCTATTGAGCATTCTTATATGTTATATTTTACTAACTATTTTTTGTTGTTTGCAAATTTTGCATTGTATATTTATGCTATAGCTTTTCTGATTTGTCTTTACTCTATTGGTTTCAGTAATAAATACTTTTGCTTTACTTAATACAACTAACTGGAATTCATGTATTTCTAATTGATTTGACCAAGATTTGTTATAAAAATAGGGTTGTTGAGGGTGGGTGTTAGTGTAGGTAGCAGATAATTATAACATTTACACCCTCAAGAGTGAAATTTAGTAAGATAATAAAATTAATTGAATTTTGAAACAATCTTGTATTTTATTGTTTAAATAAAAAAATCCGATTAGAAATCAGTAGATTGCTTTTTTTTATAGAGCTAAATGTTCAGAGACTGTAACAAATCATTATTTACTTTTCTGAATCATTTAGATTTGTATTAAATAAATTTACGGTGAATGTCATGCATAAAAGAATTATCGAATTTTTATGTTCTTTTAATAATTTTCAATTTCTAATAACAATGTATATATGAATCATTAGTTTCTAAAAATTTATATGTCATATCGAAGTTATTTTTAATACATTAATCAATAAATAATTCATCTACTACGTGTTCTACTACTATGATCTATGATCAAAATCGGACTTTTCAGTGGCAAATACGTACAAATATTCGAGATTGATTTCTCAAGCTATAAATAAGACCAAATTACACTAAAATGTATCTATCTCTCATAGCTGTAATTGAAAAACATATGCTAAAATTATATACTCAAATACTGTTGTATAACGAATTTCTATTAGTCTATAATAGTTATTTTCAATGGATTTAATGATGAATTCGAAATTTCTGATATTTCACTTATCTTGCATATAAGTAAATGTTATAAAATATATTTGAGAAAAAAAAAGTTTTTATTTTATTCATTATCATCAGCTAATTCAACTTCAATTTCCCATTTATAACCAAAATAATGTACACTTAAAATTTTTAATTTTGTTCCAACAACTAAAAGAGCTTCTTTTTCTTCACTTAATGTACTCCATTTCCATATATTAGCGAGATTTTTCTTTGCTATTTCACTTGAATTATCTGTTTTTAATATAATTATTGCATTACCTCCATATATTAATAAACGATCAATTGTAAATGATAAAAATGAATTTGTATAATAATAATCATTTTTTCGTTGCATATAATATTCAATTTCTTTTTCACTTAAAGTTAAACCACGATAATAAATATGTTTAATATTAGATTGATTTAATCCACGAATTAATGAACGAAGTTTATTAACATATGCCCAATCAATATCATTGAAATTTGCACTAAGCAAATTTAAATTTGTTTTCATATAACATTCATTAGAAAGGCTATTTGTATACGATTTAATAACATCTAACATATCATTTGTTAATTCATGTTCATTGATTATTGTTGGATAAACTTGTTGAAAATACGATTGAAAAGGATTTTTTATTAAAAGTTTACAATCAATTGAATTTGTTAAATGATCATAATGAAAATGTTCGGTTTCATAATTTTCAGTCGATGAAGAAATTTGTTTTGGTAAATAACGATTTGTTCGAGCATTCACAATACAATTCATCATACCGTCTTGTAAAATATGGTCAAATAAGACATGTGCATATATGTAATTTCATCATTTTTATGAAACAACAACAACGATGATTCATTTTTCTTTTTACACCAACGTAAAAGTACATCATACTTCTTAAAAGAAGTAACTTTATATAAACTAGGGCTTTATTAGATATTTTATTATATTATCTGTCAAATGACTGAAACTATGGATGTTTTATACGATCCTGTTGAAGCTTATTTTAAAAACAACTTTACGGGAGTAAATACTAGAACAAGTTTACTTTGTCTCGATAAACAGTAGATAAGAATATAAGTATGTGTTTTTTCAAGTTAGAAAATAAAAATAAAAGAATAAGATGTTATTACCGAGTGTATTTATTTGTACCGTTTTTCTTATATCAGTACCAATTTTAAGTGGAATTAATGTAGAACATCGACCAACAGTTGGAGTTATTCGTTGGGATGCTTGGAATTTATTTAACAATCAATACGATCCTATTTCTTATTATTTACATCGTGCTTTAACTCCTGAAAAATTTCATTTTCGTATACCATTTTATGGATCAGTTCATTCACCGACAAATATATCTTTCAATGGAGATATACAAAATGTAATGGATCAAGAAATTCTCTATGCTAAACATGCAGGTATAGATTATTGGGCATTTGATACTTATTGTACGTTTGGATCGAATTGTACAACTAATAATACATATTGTACTCAATATTATAAACAAACATCAAATCAATATTGTCCAAGAAATCCTGCTTATGGATTAGATTTATATCTTTCAAGTTCGTATAAATCTTTGGTGAATTTTACTCTCATTCTATTAGGTTCTTCACCATGTGATGTAACCTTTCAACAGCAATATATTGATCTTATGAAACAACCTCAATTTCAAACGGTATTAGGAGGCCGTCCACTGTTGTATTTATTTCAATTTGATAATGCTGAAGCTGATATTTGCGGTGGTGGATGGTCTGGAAGTGGACAAGTATTTCAGAAATTTCGACAATTAGCTATAAGTCAAGGTGAATAATAAATTTTTTTACATATGAATATGAATATAATCTTGTTCTTTTTATTGCAGGATTACAAAATCCATACATGGTACTTATGGATTTTGATGTTGCAACCGTTCAATCACATGCTTCGATGCTTGAATTCGATGCAATTTCAACGTATGCATTACCTGGAGGAACAAATGAAGTAAAACAAACATTTTCCTATTTATTTTGATTAATTTACTATAATGAATAATCTATAGGGAACACCATTTGTGGAACTAATTCATTCAGCTCAACAGTAAATAATTTTTTTCTCATAAAAAAAACTACAAATTAGTTCTATGTATTATAGATGGTGGCAATCTGCTCATCAGATTGAAGCTAAAATGGTACCAATAGTTTCTACGGGTTGGGATCCACGACCACGTGCTGAAAATCCTGTTCCATGGGTTGACGAGGGACCACAGCATTATTTCCAACCAAGCGTCGAAGAATTGCAAACATTAATTCGAAATGGAATTAATTTTACATGTACCTATAATCAAACAGCTGAAGCACAAACAATTATCATCTATGCATGGAATGAATGCAGTGAAACTAGTGGTTCACTTATTCCTTCGTTGGGAAATGGAACCCTTTATGTTGATGCTTTATCAAAAGTTCTTCCGATGCATTGCTAAAAATAAATATAGAGATAAAATAATTATTAAAAAAAGATTTGTAAAGAAATATTATATGTCAGAGTGTGAATGTGAGTGTTCTGTTACTCCAACAACTCTCACCATCATCGAAGATTACTTGGTAGGTTACCATTTCATCTAGTATTTTTATCCGAATCCAGCAAGTGCACCATTTGATTCAGAATTAAATTCTGCCTCCAACACAACTATTCAGAGGACAGCACAGATGCAAAAGCAAACATCAGCAAGATAAACTCGAATAACTTTCATTGCGTCATGCGTTGAGACATGAGTCACGTCACATGAGTCATTCGTCTGTGGTATTGCGTAACTTATTCAAGCGTATAAATATGCGTGCTTACATATATTTTTATCTCATATTTACTTCTATTTGTTATTTCAAAAAACAACAATGGCAACAAATCAACGAAATATACCAGAATTTAAACTAGTTTTAGTGGGTGATGGTGGTGTTGGTATGTTTTTTTATTATTCTTATATCTAAACCTCATAATTCATATCTGTTATTTTAAGGTAAAACAACATTTGTTAAACGACATTTAACAGGTGAATTTGAAAAGAAATATGAAGCTACTGTTGGTGTTAATGTTCATCCATTAAATTTCTCTACCAACTATGGAGAAATTATATTTAGTGTATGGGATACAGCAGGTCAAGAAAAATTCGGTGGTATGTTATTCACATATTAAGTAGACACAATAATCAGTTGTTTTTTTTATATATTTATAATAGGCTTACGTGATGGATATTATATTGGTGGACATTGTGGTATTATTATGTTTGATCTTACATCACGTATAACTTATCGAAATGTTCCTAATTGGCATAAAGATTTAGTTCGTGTTTGTGAAAATATTCCAATTGTTTTATGTGGAAATAAGATCGATGTTAAAGATCGAAAACTGAAAGCTAAATCAATAACATTTCATCGAAAAACTAATATGCAATATTATGATATTAGTGCTCGATCAAATTATAATTTTGAAAAACCATTTCTTTGGTTAGCAAAAAAATTAAGTGGACAAGAAAATCTTCAATTTGTTTGTATGCCAACAATAGCAGTAAGTTTTCTTTTTGTCATATATAGAAAATGTTTTTTAAGCAAAGTTAATTCATTTTTAGCCACCTGACATTCATTTTACTAAAGAAATGCTTTTGGCATATGAAAAAGAACTTGAAACTATAGCTACTGCACCACTA